CCTCCAGGCCACCGGATCACACTCCTCCTCCAACCAAGTCACCAGCCTGCCAGACTCTCGAACCGGAGTGTGCCAAATCCTCCGCCAGCCGGAACGGGTCCGCAGCCAAGGTCTTCCAGGTCGTACCGGGTCCTCTGCCAGCCGAAAGCACGGTCAAAGCCACGATCTTCCGGGCCTTCCAGGCCACACCGGGGCCTCCTTGATTTATGACCAGTTCAAAATTACCTCAGACATCTGGATCAGGGAGAGAATCAACCTAAAACTAAGGAGAAATTTCCTGACAGTGAGCATAATTAATTGGTGGAAGAACTTGCCTCCAAAATTTGTGGGTGTTCCTCTGGAGCAGTGGTTCTCAACCTGTGGGTCGGGACCCCATTTGGGGTCGATCGACCATTTCACGGGGGTCGCCAAGCAAGGCTGTCCGCCATTTTTTTTGTCCACCATTTTTTTCCCCCTTTTCCGGTGGGTGCCTTACCTCCCTTGGGCTGGGCCAGCTGGTGGTTGGCCTGCTCCGTCTCTGCCGCTTGCCAGCTACACCTCGGCCGGCGCAGGGGGCGGAACCACGCATGCGCAGCGCTCCCGGGCAGGGAAAGTCCTCGACTTACGACCGGTTGGGTAGTCCTCAACTTACGACTGGTTTAGTCCTCGACTTACGACCGGTTTAGTCCTCGACTTACGACTGGTTGGGGTCACGGCATTAAAAAGGTTGAGAACCACTGCTCTGGAGGTTTTTAAGAAGAGATTGGACAGCCACTTTGTCTGGAAGGGTATAGGGCAGGGGTAGGCAACCTTTCTTAGTTGGACCATAACAAAGGCTGAGCGACAAAGAATGGAGGCCTTTGAACTATGGTGCTGGAGAAGACTCCTGCGAGTCCCCTGGACTGCAAGGCGATCAAACCGGTCAGTCCTAGATGAAATCAACCCTGACTGCTCTTTAGAAGGCCAGATCCTGAAGTTGAAACTCAAGTACTTTGGCCACCTAATGAGAAGGAAGGACTCACTGGAGAAGGGCCTAATGCTGGGAAAGAGTGAGGGCAATAGAAGAAGGGGACGACAGAGAATGAGGTGGCTGGATGGAGTCACTGAAGCAGTAGGCGTGAACTTAAATGGACTCCAGAAGATGGTAGAGGACAGGAAGGCCTGGAGGAACGTTGTCCATGGGGTCGCGATGGGTCAGATACAACTTCGCAATTAACAACAACAACAGGCAACCTTGGCTCTTTTAAGACTCGTGAACTCCAACTCCCAGAATTCCTGAGCCAGCCATGCTGAGGGGAAAGGGAGAGGTTTCCAAGCTGAGCCATGCTGGCTCAGGAATTCTGGGAGTTGAAGTCCACGAGTCATAAAAGAGCCAAGGTTGCCTACCCCTGGTATAGGGCAGCAGCCCCCAACCTTTTGGACACCAGGGACTGGTTCCGTGGAGAGAGGTTTTTGCGTGGACGGGAAGGGAGTGTGGTTTTGCATGCTGCCTGCACCCTATGGATGGGGCTTCACTTGTTTGTGCGGCTTGGTTTCTGGCATGCCACAGCCCGGTGCCGATCCAAGGAACCCGGGATTGGGGACCCCTGGTATAGGGTTTCCCGATTGAGCAATGTTTGGGGTAGAAGACCTCTAAGGCCCCTTCCAACTCTGTTATTCTGTTAGATTCTCAATCATTCAAGGCATGGTTGTCCCAAAGGTGCTT